CCCCCCCCGCCTCCCCCCCCCCGCCGGTTCCGCCGAGCACTTCTCCGGCCGGCCCGACAGCAAGGTTCTCCGGGTTTGCGTAGATCGCGATGTTAGAGACGGAGGCGGAGGCGGAGGTTAGGGTTCGGGAGTTCGGCGGCGTTGCGTTTCCTCTTCTCCATGGCTGGTGAGATCTTTCCTCTCTGCTTCTCTCGCGATCTCTTGCGTCTTTGCGACCTTGTCTTTAGGTTTTCTGCGATATGCATTTTCCTTTGGGTTCCTCGGATTTTCTCGCGTTTTCTTTCGCAATGCTTCCCTCTCGGTCTTTCGTTGATGCGGTTTTAGAGGGAGGTGGGGCGATCTCGAGTTCTACCGATTCCTTTCTATTTCCTCAAGGTTTCATGATTCTCTCAATATTGGTGGTGATTACTCCTTTATGAAAAAACTAGGGAAGAAGAATGGAAAGTTGGCTATGTTTATTTCTGATGTTGAAACAAATGTGTTGGCTTCCTCTTGTCGTTTTGCTTTGGTTGGGAAATTTTCTTATGGCCATCCTAAACTTGAGCTCATTAGAAAAGAGATTGATCTTCTTAAATTGAAGGGTTGGTGGAGAATAGGGGTTTTGGATGGCAAACATATTTTAATCCAGCTTGCTAATGATGAGGATTATACCATGCTTTTTGCGAAACGTTTTTTGAAAATTGAAAATAGATTTATGAAATTCAGGAAGTGGTCTGTTGATTTCGATCCGAAGTTAGAGCTTCCGATTTTACCAGTTTGGATCCGTTTTCCGGGGTTAAAGCTGCATCTGTTTAACCATGAAGTTTTATTTTCTCTTGCTGCTGCGTATGGAAAACCTCTAAAAATGGATAGTGGTACTTTTTATCTTACACGACCCTCTGAGGCTCGGGTTCTAGTGGAAAGAGATATTACTCTCCCAAGGCCCCCCTTCAACATGCTCAAACTTCCTTAGAGGGGGAATGACAAATACAAAAACACGCAAAAAAAAGGGCTAAAAGGAAGAATGAGTTATCAAGTCTGAATGTTAGCAACATTATACAGGAAGATACCTACTACTTTGATGGGGAACAATTAGGCAACCCTTCTAGATCTTCTAGAAGGGCGGGCTTAAGACATAATGTTTAACATTATGGTTTGGAATATTAGGGGAGTGGCAGACCCTTCCTCCCTTAATAGGCTCAAATATCTTTGTAGTGTCCACAAGATTTCTATTTTTGCCATCTTGGAACCTTTTGTGCATGTTAATAGGGGTAGAATTTTACAGCGTTTCAAAAACTTTCAATCTTACTGCAATAAGAACAACAAGATTTGGGTTTTCTGGAAACGAAAAGTCACTTTATCTATTATGGATGACGATGACAAGTATGTGCTCATGCATTTCCGCTTGGATCAGTTTCATGGGTCCGGGGCTTTTGTGTATGCTAGCTCTCTTTTACCTGATAAATTCTTGCTTTGACAGAAACTTGAGATTTTGGGTACATCCATATCTGAAAATTTTTTTGTTGGAGGGGATTTCAATATGATCATGAATCCCTCTAAAAGAAAAGTAGGGGGTAGATGTGATCTAACCCTTCCTAATCGGTTTTCTTCTTCTATGACTGAAGCTGGGTTATTTGATTTGGGGTACTCGGGCTCTCCTTATACTTGGAGGAGAGGTTTTCTCCAACAGCGACTTGATCGGTTCCTTGCAAACTCAGCTTTTCTTAATTATTTCACCATCTCTAAAGTCCAACACCTTAGCTATGCTTCTTCATAATCCTATTCTTCTTACTCTTGTTTTTATTGATAAACTTAGTTTCTCCAAATTTAAATTTCTTAACATTTGGGCTTCTCATGAAAATTTCCTTAGCACTGTTGAACAGGTTTGGTCCTATGATGCAGCTGGCTCGCCTTGGTATATTCTCTGGCAACTCCATCAAAAATTAGCTGCACATCTTCGAAAATAGAACCACCATATTTTTGGTAATGTGCACTCTAAAGTTCTGGAAGCCCAAGAAGTGGCTGATCTTTTGGAATCTCAGGCTTCCTCTTCACCTGAGATGTTTAACCTCACTGCTCAAGCGCACTTGAAATTACTGGATGCCATTAACATTGAGGAAGGTCTTTTGCAACAAAAAGCTAATGATCTCTATTTCACTGCGGGCGATAGAAATATCAACTACTTCCATGCCACCTTAAAACATAGGCGGAATATTAATTGCATCCTCACAATTAAAAACGCTAAAGGCCAAACTTTAACAAATCTTGATGAGATTGGTGAGAGTGCCGTGCTTCATTTTACAAAGCTACTTCAACAGAATTCTATTACCACTACTGTTGATGCTTTGGTTTTTGAGGATGAGTTTGATTATATTAATAGTTTATCTCTTGCACATGTTCCTGATGAAGCAGAAATTCTCTCTGCTGTCAAATCCATAAACTCCAATAAGTCTCCTAGTCCTGATGGATACTCTTCTGCTTTTTATGTTAAGTGTTGGGATATCATTAAACAAGAAGTGGTTAATGCTATTCAAAGTTTCTTTCTGGGAGAAGACCTTGGTAATTACTTCAACTCTACTTCTATTGTTCTCATTCCTAAAGGGCATGACAAAATTACTTGGGATAATTTCCGACCTATTTCACTCAATACCGTTATCTCTAAGGTATTGAGTAAAATTTTTGTCACAAGGCTGCACCCTTTTCTTGGGAAAATTATATCTCCTCAACAATCGGCTTTTATAAAAGGTAGAAATATTACAAATAATATCTTGCTTGCTCAGGAATTGATTGAAGATCTTGACAAAAAATGCAGAGGTGGGAACATGGTCTTTAAACTTGACATAAGAAAAGCCTTTGACACCATAAATTGAGACTTTATTCTAAATATCCTTAAAGCTAAGGGCTTTAAAGAGGATTTTTGCTTACTTATTAAGAGATGGTTAGCCAATAACCACTACAGCATTCTTATTAACGGTAAATCTTTTGGAAGATTGTTCCAAATCCATTCTCATTTGGATCTTTCCTTTTTGCTGGGTGGTGTACATCAAACACTTATATATGTTTTGTTTGGAGGCAAGAGAAGAAGTTTTATTGGGAGACACATGACTCCCTTTTTGGTGGCAATATTTCAGTTTCTTAGACGACGGTATATTACTATTTTGTTTCTCCTCCAGGACTGTTACTTTGTCACAATTTTGCGCTTAGATTGGAATATTGTGCAGTTTCAAGATAATTGGACTTACGGATTGCATAGTTCTGTTTTGCACTTTCCCTACAAGTTCATTTTTGATA